TTCAAAAAATAAAACACATGAAGAACTCGTAATTATAACAAACAAGTCGAAAATAATTTCACTAAACCTTTAGTCAGATTACTGGCCATAAGTGCACGAAATAAGATTTTGCTTTTAAAAACCATGGAGTTTTAATTATTTATTTATAAAATAAAACAAAAGAATATGTATAAAGAATAATGATTTATTTATTAAGGAGAACAGATAAAATAAAACTACGTAATAATTCACTTTTATATTTTTATTATAAAGTGTATTTTATTATGTTTGTGTATGGAATGTACGTTTCTTTAATATATATTCTGTATAATTGGGTAATAATATGGTTATCCTTTGAGGCACGAGCCTCCTAGCCGGATCCCCGCCCTGGGACCTCGACGCAAAACTCCTCGCGTCGCTCTATTGGTGGCGCGCGGGGCGAGCGCCTGGTGCCTCGACAGGTTGAGGCACGCAGGGCAGAACTCCGCCAGGCCTTAATGGCGGAGTGGCAGACGCGTTTAGCGCAACCCACGGCAGGGCACGCCACTATAGAGGCGGTAAGGCCCGTTCTAGAGGAGTGGCTCAATAGGAGCCACGGCGCCCTCAGCTTCCGGCTGACGCAGGTGCTTACCGGACACGGGTGTTTCGGGAAGTACCTGTGTCGCATAGATCGGGAGCCGACGTCTCAGTGCCACCATTGTGGTGATTGCCGCGACGATACGGCGCTGCATACGTTGGCGGAATGCCCAGCTTGGGCCGAGCAGCGTCGTGACCTGGTCGCGGCCGTAGGTGCTGCGGGAAATCTCTCGCTTCCGGCTGTAGTGTCTATTATGGTCGGGAGCGAGTCAGGGTGGAGTACCGTCGTTACCTTCTGCGAGGCCGTGATGCTCGCAAAGGAGGCGGCGGAAAGGGAGAGAGAGGCTGCCTCCTCTCTCCCCTCCCGCAGCAGACGCACTAGACGTCGTAGGGTGGCCGACCTGTGGCCACCGTAGGGCGCGGCCTGTGGACGACAGACTCGGGGCATCTTGTCGTCCGACCAGCAGCAGGCCTCGAGGCGGCGGCGCCGTGTTCCGCGCGCGCCTCATAGTGGAGTCCTGCGGTCGGGGTGACGGGGCCCGCCTTACCATCTGGCGGGCCAATACCCATCGGGGGGTTGCGACGAATGCTTCGGCGATACCCGCCCCTCCGACACATGGCTAAGTGGAGGAACACCGGGTTGGTTTTTAGTCAGTAAGAGTCTGACAGTACCCTTCGCCCTTCCCCGAGGGCGATGGGTCTCCATGAGGATTTCCCAAACAGACACCAAAAAAAAAAAAAAAAAATGGTAGTACTTTCCATTTGAAGCGGCCTGCTTAAAAGAGGTGGTAATGGTGGTGGCTCTGGTGGGCTAACCACTTGAATATAAGGGGCTACTGCATTGTTGTCCGAACCCAATTCCTGCAAGTTTCGTGATAAGTCCTGCACTGTCTGTCTATTTGCCCGCATACAGCACACATGACAAACATAGTTGCTTCTTGAGGTCTGAAAATAAACCCCAGTTAGAATAAACACATGTTTTCAAGTTTTATGTTATTGTACAGGGAGAAGTATTATGTTACAACATGCCTATTTTAAAGAAATCTATGCAAACATGGAAAATACATAAAGATAGATATTACCTACTATATAGATATAGATATACCTACTATGAGTACTTTTTTTTATAGATTAATATAGATAAATACAAGTACACATATAAAACAATGAACAAAAAACAAAATGCTTACCACATTAATAGCATTTTGTGATATTAGGCCAGCTAGCAATGGAGAGTCTATACTGACATTATGGTGTCTTATTTTTCGAACCGATTTTCCACAACCAAGGCCAGCCATGTTATGCCCCAGTAGTCTCTCATGTTCACCAGTATTCAATAATAAGAAGCGTGGTTGACAAATGAATGTCCCCAGAGGCAACTTAAAAAAAGATGCACTATTTAAAATCGCATACCATGAAAAACCATAAAACAATAGATTAAGTATTATTAGTATTCTACTATTCCGACTTCATACCTGGGTTTGAGCTGGTTAACCAACGTGAAAGCCTTTGTACGCCTATTCCGCAGTTGATGCACCTCATCGTAATCCACAAAACAAATCCAAAACGCAAAACAGTTACTCCAGTATTATTAGCAAGGTTAACAAAAACACGCTGTCAAAAGTGTCAAACACGTTCCGTTTCGTTTAAGTTTTTTTTTTGGTGAATTGGATAAAAATAAAATATAACATTATTATAATATGAGTATATTTTAAAATGCAACTAAAACCAATGAATACAGTTTCGTATGAATAAAATGTTCCTAGTGTAATGCATTTGTCGATCATATCACACGTTTTCTACGAGTGTAGTTTAAGACACGTGGTTTGGAATTGGAACGTTTTATTTATCTTTCTCTATGGACTATTATGGCGAAACTTGACAAACGAAGTTGATTTTGTTGCATTACTTTTACATTTTTTTAATAATAATTGTCAGGTCTGGAGAGGCTGAAAACTACGTAATAATTCATATTTCTATTTGTATTTTACAGTGTATTAATTTTGTTCGTGTACGTGGAATGTACTTTTTTGGCCATGTCCTTTAAATCTATACTCTATACTAATATTATAAAGAGGTAAAATTTGTAACTTTGTATGTTCGTATGTAGGGGGTAATCTTTAGAACCGCTGGTCGAATTGCCAAAATTCTTTTCGAACGTAAGACCGAACGTGGAATCAATCAAGAATTTAATCAATATTTAATTTTTAAGCAATTAATACACTGCTGAATAATATAAAACTGGTTAAATCTTAAAGAATTCTTAGCCCCGATATCTAAGGCATCGCAGAGAGCCGCAGAATAAGACCTCGTTTCTCGAGTATGAAGGTGAGCATTTGAAACCAAGCAAGTACCAATGTAACTTTTTGTGAGCCATATTGACATTTAGTTTCTTATATTATTTTTCTACTAACAACATACAGTAATAGAAAGCATCGTAAGAAAACCTGGATTTATAACTTTTGTATTCTAAGTTTAAAATAGCCAAGTGTAAAAAACAAGTAAGTGTGGGAGAGCCATGCATCGGCACGAATGGGTCGGCTCGACCGGTGTGATACCACGGCCTCACATAAAACCGGCGTGAAACAACCAAACCGTTGTGTTTAGCGGCTTGAGTGAGGTTACCGGCGGCCTAATCATTCCATCCCTAAATCTCCAAAACCCTAATCCCCAAAAGGCAACGCACTCGTTACTCCACTGTTGTTGCGGGTGTCAGAAATGATATTTCTTTCTTTATCTTTCACGCAGCTAGGGAATGTTTTTATTGTAAAATTTATATGTCTATATTTCGTTATTTGCATACCAACAATTTATAAGCCGTTTCTTGCGGTCTGTATTAAGCGGATGTATGGAAGGTAGGTGCGGTGGCTGGGCAACTGGCTGCCGTGCAACGTGTCGCGGGTTGACGTAACAAAAGGGGCTACCTTTCTCTTTCACAGCGAAGAATCCAAAAGCAAGAGCTTCTTAGCTGAGGTGTGGCCGCAGGCAGAACGAAACGATTCAACACTTATTAAACCATAATGAATTATATATGTACAACACATATGTAGATACAAAACTGTAAATAAATATATATTCCTTTATGTTTAAAAGCAAACCAAACATACTGATCAGCACGTCAAGATTCATTACGAAACAATTGAGATACGCACAATCAAAATATTTTATGAGCAAAAACCACACACCGAAACCAACGTTAAAATATGTATAAAGAGCTACGAGCTGGGTATTCGCGTACAATGGAAATGTTTTCAATTAAAATCATCTTGATTACTCGAAGTTGAAATGTATCGAGACGAGATTGGCTTGAGGCCACACGACCGTGAGGCGATCACTTACAATCCCCAATCCTACCACATTTTCGACACGTGTCTCTGAACTTATTAAAGTTTAACACCGAACCAATTTCACTAATTATGTTATTGGAGGGATTAAAACAATTGGCATGTGGCTTAAAAAAGGATTTTCGTGCAAATAAGCTGTACATATATTGGTAAACATTTTTCATGTCACTTAGGTATTAATACGGAGACACGAATTAGGTAGGTTATACCTGTGTATGGATCTAATTATTGTATTTTTTTTTTATCGTTGCTCCACACTAATGTTTTCTCCTGTGTCATGGGTGCGGTTACAAACATACAATTTCAGATCCGCATCCGGAACCCGGTAAGTGGTGTTAGAATATCTTCATACCTTCATAAAACAAATTTACTACACAAAAAAATGGCTGGCAACTTGCTTATGGCTCCTCTATCTGTTTTTGATCACTTACTATCGGGGAATCCTTCTACTATTTTTTTTTTTTTTGTAATTAAGATCAGAATCTATTACTTTGTCTTAAATGGTAAACGCATAATGATACTAAATACAACAATTTGCAGATTATACATAATTATATAGTATACCTAGAATTGGTTCCGTCTACAACCGGTGGCCAAGCCGCTATCCAATGAAAAAACCAGAAGATGGGCTGGCATTGGTTATATATGAAGAGTTTATTTTTAAAGAATAGTAAAGTATTTTCTGTTGGGTGTCTTATATGTATCACCTTGATAACACCCAGAACAACAATTTGTAGAATACATAAAGTGAAACTCGCGATTTCTTGTCCAACTACTCTAGGATCCATGTTACAAAAGCATAATTATTATTGAATATGGAGCTCTGTAACATACCTGAAAAGACCTGTACGGAACCAGGGTTAATGTGGATGGACTTTAGGAAAAATACTCAAACACGGTTTTAAATTAATAAACTTTAATGGGTGCTAACTACAAGAGTTAAGTATAGCAAGTGGGGTAATTTTCAGAATTCTTCACAATTTATAATTTTCATAAGCGTAAGTTGATGCTCCGAAAAACCATCAGGCGCGCAAACAAGACCTAACCAACAAAGGATGGATTGCTGATGATGCAAGTGTAAATGAGGTGGAAGAAACTCACCTATCAACAGAGATACAGACGAGGACGTTAGAAGACAGGTACAGACCGAAGGCTCGCAGTACGAGTAGCAACTTGCACATCAGGTTGCCTACTAGCCACGCGTTGGTATACTTCCAGCCAATCTGGGGACAAAAAACTATGTTTAATATTTACAATTTAAATTGTTATTTTTACTTTACGCGCCTTTGCCTTTAGGAGGATAATTCCCTCACACATTACGCCTTCTTGTTAGCGAGGTTTACTGCTTCGCAGAAAGAGGAGACGGCTTTTCAGTTCCTCTCACATGACACTGTTAAAAACAAGCTTGGTCGGTCAATAAGTCTTGATTCTAAATACTTTAGAGAATGTTAAAGTGTGTTAACAAACAAATAGAGATGGTGCTTAAAGAATAATTCCCAAAAGATTGATAACGCACTTGCAATTCAAAGTTTAAGGCTAAGTTAAATCGTTTGTTTCAAATAACCCACTATAGGCACTTTGATATTGCGAATGTGGCTTAAATATCATCAGTATTCCTCATCAAAACAGATTTTAAAAGAGACTAGTTACCTATTTTTTATGTGATCGGTTGCAAACGAGCGTAAGTAATCAGCGCTTTGTTAATTGTCGTGGTGGCCCGGAGGTTAATGCACCCGCTTCTTATGCATGTTCGAAACCTGGCAAGTACCAATGTGACTTTTTCCAAGTTATATGTACTTTCTATGATTATTTAGACACCACTGACATACGGTGAAGGAAAACATTGTGAGGAAACCTGGACTTATATTTGAGAAGGATTGGCTTCCGGCAACCTCACTCACACGGCGAAACACAACGCTATGGTTGTTCCACGCCAGTTGTCTGTGAGGCCGTGGTATCAGTAGCATGGATCTCCCACACTTAAAATTATATAATATATCACTGTATATATTTACCTACATACTTTTCTTATGAGTCAACTTCTCGTTTTGTTTTCATCGTCATCATCATCAGCCTATAAGCGCCCACTGCTGAGCAAAGGCCTCTTCTCTTACGGAGAAGGTTAGAGCATTAATCACCACGCTTGCTCAATGCGGGTTGGCGATTTCAAACTTATAATAATTAGAAATTATAAGTCCAGGTTTTATCACGATGTTTACCTTCACCGATGGCAGTGGTGTCTAAATAATCATAGAAAGTACATATATCTCGGAAAAAGTCACATTAATACTTGCCAGGTTTCGAACATACACCCACACGCATGAGAAGCGGGCTCCTTAACCTCCGGGCCACCACGACATTTTGTTTTGTATAGACGAAAGATATTTACATTTCCAAACCAAATCCCAAAACAGTCTCGGTAAATAAGAATCTGTTCCAATTAAATTTGTCCTTCGAATAGGGCTTAGCTCAATTATACTTACACTCAGATCTTGAGAGACTTAGAAGGCCACATATTGACCGGCCATAGGCCCGCCCATAGGCCCTAATTGCTCTTTAAAAAGGTCAAAGTTTTCCACGTGTTTCAGGTACGTGCTGAAATCAAAATAGACATGTGTCCTCCATCTTGAAATCTCATAAAGCCTCAGGGGAAATAATGTGTTGATGGAAATCGATGGTCAGGAGATTCTGTCACACGTTTAGTTTATTGCAATTTCTATATTATTAATATAATTTAGCGACACCGCATCTGCAATGTTGATACTAAATTTCTCCAGTATTTAATTAATGTCATTATATATAACTTACTCCCGCGTGGTTTCACTCGCTCTCGGCTCCATTTGATTGTAGTGTGATGTTTTATAGCCAAATAGCACTCGGGAACATTGTAGCTGTCGAGTGGTGAAAGAATTTTTGGAATCCAACCAGTGGTTCCAAAGATTACCCCCAACATACAAGCTTACAAATCTTACCTCTTTATAATATTAGTATAGATAAACCTTCCTCTTCTATCACTCTTTCTTTACAAAAACTATGTCAAAACCCGTTGCGTAGTCTTAAAGAATTAAGCATGCATAGGGTATAGAGAAAGCAACTTTGTTTTATACTATGTAGTGATATTTATTTTTTCTTTTAATATTATGTTGACTGAAAGAGACTAGGCCTCGTGATATAGAGAATCCTAATGCGAGGTGCAGGGCCATTAAATATTTTTATTTATTTATATTAAGTATACTAGCGGAGCGGCCCGCCCCCGCTTGTGCGAAGCGGGTCCAACTATCTCGCTATCAAACGGTCACTTTTTCCTAATCTTCCCTACTACTTTTCTAATAGTTTCTTTGATAAGAACCTTCTCCTGACAATAACAAACACAACAAAAAAACAATTAGTATAATTGGTCCAGGCGTTGTTGACTTATGCGCTTACCAACACATTTTGCGATCCATTTTTATATATAAAAAGATTTACCTTATCGACTAAAGTTTTATTGCATAATTGTTACTTGCTTACTTGTATGTGATATTGTTTGCATTTAATTCATTTTGACTCTCATTAATATTTACGGTTAATTATTATGAGGCTTTTGTGTTTTAGGATCTCAATTTTTATCGAAAAATAAAAGAAACTGTTCTGCAAAGTTATACAGTTGACTTGCAAAATAAAAACTCCTTATTCATTCTTTGACCAAAACTAAATTCAAACTAAAGAAGGTAAAACATTGCTACGTGTACTTACCTAACTTGAAATTGAGTTGAAAAAGTTTCATTAATATACAACAAAAGAAACATTAATAGATTTCCTGGAAGTTAACGAGAAAAACAATGAAATGAAAAGAGTTGTTTAAATTAAAACCAGTGTACCAAGAAATGAGACGGTTGCACTTGCTTTTGTAAACAATCTTCAGTTGTAAATATTTCAATGACTATTGCGATTAATGTTACTGCGGAGTCCAAGACAGCACTGCTTCTTTCGTTCATCTTTCTTCGTCTTCTTGCATACTTATTTGCCTTCTTCAGGCTCCAAGTTAAGAGTTAAGAGAACTACGTAAATGACCTTTTTCTAGCATATCGGTGATGAAGTGAATTTACATTTGACTGGAACAGTTCTTTCTCACTTACAAGATAGTTTCGTAGGCGAATGCTTACAGAAGTGTGGGAGAGCCATGCTTCGGCACGAATGGGACGGGTCGGCCGGAGTGATAGCATGGTCTCTCAGTAAACCGGTATGGAAAAATGGTAATATATTTTGACGCGTGGATGAGGTTACCAAAGGCCCAATCCTTCTCCTCCCATCTCTCCCCAATTCCTAAACCTCTGAAATCCCTAAGGGTGGTAACAATTGCGTAACCCTTACGCTTATTTGCCATTCTATTACATAAAAAGACGGTTTGGCATTAGCTCAAGTGGCTCACCAAACCCTGGCAATGCACTAGATCTAGTTTTCCCAGATGTTGCGGGTATCTGTCTATCAGACGTTGCCCGGTTGCTTACCATCAGGTGACGTGTCTGCTCGTTTGCTAACCATTCCATTAAAAGAAAAGAAAAAACACCATCCAACACTAAGCTTGACAGGCAATTGATAATCGTAGTAAAGTTTTTAACTTTGGCAACCTAAATCCAATACATCTTCCTACCTAACACATCATAAAGCTATAAATATCATCGACCTTCTAATTCCCAGACAGTCTATACTCTATAGCAATCCAATTTATTTTCGCAAAGTGTAATTTGAATCCCATAAATAAATAAAAGTGAAACTTAATAAAACTTTATCCAAATACTGGGTAGGTACACGTTTTCATCAAAGTGTGAAAAATAAATCTCAAATGTCACACTGTAATATTTAATATGAGAATGTTTTGAGCTGGGCTTAGACAGTTGATGCCTCATAATTGATATCCAAGCTTGTGCTGTAGTGTTTAAATATAATCCAACTGAAGATTTTCTTGTTTATTCTCCAACCAGTTTATCTCAGAAAGTGTGGGCTCAATTTGAATAAATAATGTGATCTATTGTTATTTAAAAAGTTTTAATATTTAACATTACACTTGGTAAAAGAGACAAATGATATTAAAATTAAAAATAAATGTATTCAACCTACTGAGCTGATCAACTTGTGAAGAGCTTTTTTTTGTCTGGATGAATGATGATGATGAAATGATCAAATGCCTAACCCGGCGAGAGAGAGTATCAGACTCTTACTGACTAAAACCCCCCACTTGTAACTCTTCAGGTGTTGCAAGGATCTGTCAGCCCCTCACACTCAATCGCAAAGGAGGAGGCGGAGCGCGTGAGGGAAATATCTTCCTCGCGCCCCAGCCGCCGCAGTAGGCGATATTCCGGGCGTCAGGGATCGCCGGCCACCGTAAGCGCGGGTCTGCGGACGGCGAGTAAGGGTAGCTCGCCTCCCGACTAGAACAATACCCGAGCGTGCGGCGCGTAGCGTTACGCGCGCGCCTCAAAGAGCCAATGGACCACCACAGACGGGGCCCTATAGAGTTGATGTTCAGCCGTGGTTGCGGGGTAAGCGCAAAGAGGCACCGCGACCTCGGCCCAGAGCTGGAGAAGGAACAGGAGGGTTTTAAGTCAGTAAGAGTCTGACACTCCCTCCCACCCGGCCCTGGGAGGAAGAAGCCATTTGAAGATTTTCCCCTCACAAAAAAAATCTTTGGAACATTTCAATTTCTAGAAAAAAAAATCAAACCGTTTTTGTTAACGTATAAAACCTATATTTCTCTGTATCGGGATAACACAACAACAGTTCAGCAACATATTGTGGCCTCTACAAATATTTGAATGGCGGGGCAATCAAAACTTGTAGCCAATACAAATGTTTTGTCAATCGTAAATATAGTATGTAAGATTGATATTTTTTTATGTAATAATAGATCGGCAAACGAGCAGACGGATTACCTGATGGTAAGCAATCAGCGCCGCCCATGGACACTCGCAACGGAGGAGTTACGAGCGCGTTGCCGACCTTTTAAGGATGAGGGATTTGGAGATGTAGGGATTGAGGAGGGATTGGGGGAGGGGAAGGATTGGGTCTCCGGTAACCTCACTCACACGGCGAAACACAACGCTGTGGTTATTTCACGCTGGTTTTCTGTGAGGCCGTGGTATCACTTCGGTCGAGCCGATCCATTCGTGCCGAAGCATGGCTCTCCCACACTAACTATTTATTTTATTTTGTCACTAGTGCCCCAGCTTCGCAAGGTTGCAATGCTGATACTAAATTTATCCACTATTTAATTGATGTTATTATACATATAAACAATCCTCTTCAATCACTGTATCTATCTATTAAAAAAATGCATCAAAATCGGTAGCATAGTTTAAACGATTTAAGCGTAAGGATATAGGGATAGAGGAAGCAACTTTGTTTTATACAATGTAGTCATAATTTATTATGGTTTTGTCCAAACTATTTTTTTTTTTACAGTTACTTATGTGTCTGCTGTTTTACTTCACCGAACATGTTCTCTTTTCATCCCCTAAAGGTTAGCTACCAAGAATTCCTATAGCTTTAAGCCCTATATATATTTTCGTACCAAAACCACCTTAAAACCTTCAATAAAAGTCTATTTCTGCTTAAAAGACTGGCTACGTATATGTTTAGGTGTCTTCTTTAATTTTAATTTTAAGGTGATTCACGTCATCGTTTACCGCATTTAGCTAAAAAAATAGGAATTAAGAAATATGAAACCACCTCCGTGTTGTTTATTTGTTTCTATTGTACAGGTTTGAAAAAGGCAAATCTATTACTATTTTCGAGCATGCTCGACTACTTTCGACCTACATTGGGGCTCATGGCCACGAACTTTTATCGCTGGAAATTGACATAGTGCTGGGATAATTAGGATAACTACTTGATCAATCTAGTCCATTTACACTTTACTACATACATGAATTTTGTGTATCTGAATTCCTGTTGCACTCATAGACGTTTGATGGTAACTTAAACTGTTCTTTAGTAACAATTTTGGTCGGAAAACAAATACTAGGAACTGGCTGGAAAAAGTAAACCATCAAATGACTAAGAATCGTTTCCAAGAAAACCGTTAAGGACTTTACGCTGTAGTATGACTTGTAAAAATAATATATTAATAGTATTTGCTAAGAAAATATGGGTTCTAGGTATAAGGTAGATCCTATATTTAGTTTTCTGAGAATTACTACGTATTCTTAATAACACGTGCCAGTTATCGAGTGCCAGTTGGTTTTGACAGCCTTCAGGAAACCGAATGACATGACTGATTACTAGATCAGAAACTTTATCAAAGATACCTGTTATTGTTATAGATATATACTAGTGATACTAGTTACTAGTGGAATATTATACGCTTTTAGATTTTCTATGAAAAAACCATTGAGTATTTGGCGAGTAATTAATCAATACGTTTATTGAATAGTCAAAATTAATTTTGTTTTCTGTGAATTTAGTTGGGGATATTATATTGTGCTTAATTTTTTTATGTGTTAGGTTGAAGGTCGTGGTGGCTTCGAGGTTAAGGCGCCTTCGGGAGGATTCGAAACCTGGCCAGTACCAATATGACTTTTTCCGAGTTATATGTACTGGCTATGATTATTTGGACACCACTGACATACGGTGAATGTAAACATCGTGAGGAAACCTAGACTTATAATTTCTAATTATAAGTTTTATATCGCCAACCCGCATTGAGCAAGCGTGGTTAATGAATGCTCAAACCTTCTCCGTGTGAGAAGAGGCATTTGCTCAACATTGGACATTTATAGGTCGATTATGATGTGTTAGGACGATAAACTAATACTCGGATAACCTGAATTAAGCAATCAATGCCGTCCATGGACATCCGCAAAACCAGAGAAGTTACGAAATTTAAAGACGATCTCGGCCAAAAAGATTATACTTATGTACTATTTTACGAATGAATTACTTACTTTGTACTAAATATTTTTTTTTATTTTGCTTTTTATTATCATGAGATCAAAATTGTTACTGCTAATGCCTAAATCAATGGCCCAAAATATCTTATGTTTTTGAAGACAAACCCAGAAAAATGTTTTCCTTATATGTTTTCATAAAGGTACCCATTATTTAAATGCAAACACGAGACCTCTGCCTACCCTCTCTCATTAAGCGTTATTTCAATAACTTCAAAGCTATTATTATAAATCATAAAAGAATTGTGAGTTTTCTTTGCTCCCACAGAAACCATTTGTAGAAAATATTCTTAAAAATACGAATGAAAAATAACTAAATGAAATATTTTTTTTTTGGACACTCATAGTACCTACCAAAGGCGTCAAGTGCGTTGCCGGCCTGGATCATCATCATCTAAGGATAGGGGATTTGAGTATAGAGAAACAAACTTAAGAGTTGCTTCACGTCGGTCTTCTCTGAGGCCGTGGTATCACTTCGGTCGAGCCGGCCCATTCGTGCCGAAACATAACACGCCCATATCTCAAACGATTATCCCCTATATACAAAATTTACCTTTTATAATATTAGTGTAGAATTATGTGTCTGATTCTGCCCAGGCGTTTGGGAGTTACAGTGGAATAAAGAAAATCACAAACATATATACAGTCAGGGGCAAAAATGCAATTGCACTCTACCAATTTTAAAATGACTAAAATTTCTTTGTAGTAAAAGTTCAATGGTTCACAGCCAGTTTATTCAATACTTTAGATTCTATGTTATAAATTAAAGCAATCTTCAACCATTGACTCTATTCTACAAAGATGTTTTGGTCATTTTAAAATTGGTAGAGTGCAATTGCATTTTTGACCCCTGAATGTATACATGCATGAGCCCTAAACACATAACAATCCTTTTATTGGGCAGTCGGTCTTGTAAAAAGAACCCAGTAATACTAGTCAATTCACTGAACTGTGCAAATAATATTTTTCATATTACGTCAAGGTAAAGGATTTCTTAATTCGCTTTCGTGCTTACAACCACTTGATTACCGAAGCCTAATTAATATTGTTTTCGTAGAATTCAGATTATAATTTTGGAGGCTTTAATGAGATTGTTTGGCGTTTTAATGTTTTGTATTTAGAATGTTATCGTAATTAGGGCTTGGTAGATCTATTTATAGACCTAACTTTAATTTTGTTTATCCACATTACTGCGTGTTTAATTTTCTGCTCAAACAACTTAAAATAGTATTTAACCTAACGTCACAATTCATTTTGTGACATCTTAAAATGATGTGTAAGTGTTCAGATGCAAGATTCGATGTAACAAATACCGGTTGTCGAAATAAATATAATAAAATAAAAACATCTTTGTCATGCTAAAAATAATGTTAAGTATAATTTTATTTTATTAATATTGTAAAAAAATTAAAACAAATTAACAGCGCAACATTTGACGCAAAAACATCTATTCATGATGTTAGGTACTACCTACATATATTTATTTATCTCAAAAAAAAATTGTTAAAATATCAACTATCGTTTTTGAAATTCGAAAGAAATTGATTAAATTAACCTTCTTTAATCTTTAGTTTTAGGGACTTTTGCTCTAAAACATGTCAGCC